GGGGGGGGGCTGGCAATTCTAAAAAAAAAAAGGTGTAAATGGGCTTTAAGTGTGTCATCTATAGATCAGATGTTCTTTATACCGGCATACTGCTGATCCTTCATATATTATGTTCTGTTTTTTTTCAAGGTGAACTGCGCCTTGTCCTTCTTCCTTTTCTCCTTCCAAGTCCATGAAAAGTCCATTCTCCTGGTGTCCTTGTGAGTAGTCTCTGGAATGAGTGGAACGTTTTGTCTGGTTATGTTTTTATCTGCGTGTTCTCTTCATGAGATTGGGTAGATGGCTCCCACGCATAGCAATCTGGTTATTTGGGAATAAACACTCAGACCCGGGGTGATGGGTCCATTTTGTGCCCCAGGATCTGTTGCAACCTTTTCCCCGAGAAAAATGCAACCGAATAGCAAAGAATCTCTCCTTTTTGTTTTAGAGAAAAGGAAGCCGACGGCCGCAGAGATTATCCAGCATGTCAGAAAATGTCAGCGTGCCGCCTTACAATGTGCAGTCCTGAGCAACCTCATTGACCAGAGGTGCTTTTGGTTGCTTTTAGTTTACACCCCCTCCCCCCCCCCACTGTGCAGCAAGTGCAGGAGTCCGTCACAATGAAATGGGCTATTAGTACTATTGATTTATAATTGAAGGGAACAAAATTGGTTTGAGGTACACCGATCCCCAAATCTCTGGGAGCCAACCCCTGGTTAATTTAGGATTAATACGGCACAGAAGGGAAAATAAGGGTTTGTGTTGGCTAGCAGAGTGACGGATCCAGTAAACATCAAATGTAATTATGTATAAAAATAGAACATTTATTGGTTTAGCAAAGTAATTGTTAAAAACAAACATTCAGACAATGTAATTGAAATAAAAAGAATTCACCCAATAGGGCAACCTCCTAATGACCCCCTTGGAGTCCCACAGATAGGGTTCATGTGAAAAAGGGGCAAAATGTATAGATAACGAATATAATACTTCAACAAATTACAGCTCTAGTACAGACAAAATTTAAAAATGAACCCTCTGGAGGGACAACCCAAGTTGGTAGGTGTGGAGCTATGACCGTAGGAGTCACGCGGTGCTGATGAGGCTCGACGCGTTTAGCGCCAAAAAGGCGCTTCGTCGGGAGCAGGAGGCCGTCCCCTCAGTGCAGACTCAGCGGATGCCCAGCACAAGCAGCAAACAATGACAACAGCCCGTAGTGCCGAGATGGAAGATGGTAAGAGCACATCTGGGGCGCCTAAAAGAGCAAACCAGAGGAGGTTTTTTTTTGTTTTGTTAAATATTATAATATTCGTTATCTATACATTTTGCCCCTTTTTCACTTGAACCCTATCTGTGGGACTCCAAGGGGGTCATTAGGAGGTTGCCCTATTGGGTGAATTCTTTTTATTTCAATGACATTGTCTGAATGTTCGTTTTTAACAATCGCTTTGCTAAACCAATAAGGCCCCGTTCACACTGAGCGATTTATCGCGCGGTAATTCCCGCGATATCGCGGCTATTTACCGCGCGATATCGCTCTCCAATGCTTGGCAATGGGGCAAAGGGTCCTGCTGTCGCGGGTCGCGTGCCGCTACAGCAGGACCCTTTTTGGAGCGTATTTTGCCGCGATTCAATGCAAGCATCTGCGCGATATCGCGCAAAATGCAAATCGTGCGACAAACGCGCGATTTGCGAATCGCCAAGCGTGAATGGGGCCTAAATGTTCTATTTTTATACATAATTACATTTGATGTTTACTGGATCCGTCACTCTGCTAGCCAACACAAACCCTTATTTTCCCTTCTGTGCCGTATTACTTATAATAGAAGGGACGCGCAGCAGGAACCGGTATCGGTGAGATATCTTGCTAAGAACTCCCCATATCCCCCCAAGGAAGATCAAAGTGTCACATCAGCTCTGGTGGATTAGTAGGCTCAGGCGCATACCTAAGTCCTGGGGGGGATATAACAATGTAAATACACTGAAAAATAGATAATAATGAAAACAAATTGATACTTTGGATGGTATTAAAAGCAATCAGAAATATGCAGAGATGCATGAAACATTAGGAACATTGACAAAGGAGCTTACACTCTGTATAATGTGAAGCGGACACATAGAGGACAATTGTTGATCTATGCAGCTGGAGGAGAAAAAAAATGTTGGATATTCCAGAGAGGAACACAAGAAGAGTACCTAGAGGTTCATTAACAAGCCTCCTGTGCTTACCTTGTGACCGATCACACTCTCAGTGCAATGCTTTCTTATGGAAATGAGCGGGATGAGCCATGCAATGAGCGGCCATCTTGTTTTTCACGCTGGCCCTCTGCTGGGTTTCGTTGAACGGTTGTCAGTGACACGTGAACTGCCCTAATCTGCGGTAATTCTTCGGTAATTGTCCATAACGAGCCTCCGACGGCCTTGTGTACACAACACTTCACACGCGAGATGGCCACAAAAGGGTTTGTCACCCCGGCCAGCGGCACACAAATTGCACAGAGAGGAGGAAGTGACGCCTACGTTTGTTTGGGTGAGGAAGTTGGCTGCGGCTTTCTTTCATGGGGGGAGGGGGCAGTAGTTTGCTTTTCCTCCTCTGTTGTGGTGTAGATGTAGAGAATATGGGGCACTGCACCTGGTGCAGAACTACAAATCCCAGCACCTGCTGACCAATACAAATACAGGAGCGGTGTTATCATATGTGAGTGACCGCGTATGCGGAAATGGGAGGGTTGGCTGAGGGGTCAGTGCTCCTGTCTCGCAGCGCCGGGGTCCTGGGTGTGTGATTTATGCTTGAGTGCATCTTCTCAAACGCATATCTGCCCCGGATTCATGAAGCTGCCATTGCACCTCCAAGGTATTTAAACACTTACAATAAACTTTATTTGCACCCTTTGGGTCTGGCAGATATTTTCATACTAAGGGCAGATTAGAGCAAAAACTACCTGTTGATCCTGCCAGAAATACAGTAAGCTAGTGGTTTCCTGCGCACTCTGCCTCTGCTGCACTGAAATCCCAGGAAGTGTTGTCAGCGCTGCCCAGTTTGCATCTGTGAACTACATACAGAACACCCCCCACATGTTTTATAGAGGAGTGGAGGAAGGGTGTTATGTAGTCCAAGTCAGGAGCCTAGACAACGCTGCTCCTTCCTACAGAGTACGATGAGTGAGCAGAGGGGTCTGTAGTCCAATCCAGGAGGCCAGACAATGCTGCTCCTCCATACAGTACGATGAGTGAGCAGAGGGGTCTGTAGTCCAATCCAGGAGGCCAGACAACGCTGCTCCTCCATACAGCACGATGAGTGTACAGAGGGGTCTGTAGTCCAATCCAGGAGGCCAGACAACGCTGCTCCTCCATACAGCACGATGAGTGTACAGAGGACAGGAAGTGTGTTACTGGCAGGATCACCGGGTGCAAATAAAGGTTAAAAAAAGCCTAAAAAAGAAAACTAATACAGCCGCCACATCCAAGGACTGGTGAGCTGCACTCTATAAAAGTTTTGTTCTCATGTTTAGATACACTTTAAGGTTTGCTGACAAGTACCTAAGGCATGCTAAATGACATACAATAATGTTGAATGAGTGGCCACTTTAGCATGCCGTAGGATGTTAATGCAGTGTGATGAATCAGGGCAGTATTTGGTGATTGTCTTCCACTTTAGGCGGCTCGGTTTTCTGTAGGCGGTAGGGACGGAGGGGCTCGTTGACACCGTGCTGACAAACATTTTTTCAACACGGGGAAAAATGTGCAGGCTGAAAATCTATTGCTTTTTAGAAGACCTGTTACTGCCCCGGGGAAAGTCCTAAATGGTGACTTTTATTACATCCAGATATATGATATTCCTCGCTGTATCCAGTATCATAGAGGTCATCAATCGTTTCCATATCAAGGGCTGATTAAGGCCTTGTTCACACCAAATGCAAACCAGATCCGGTCAGGTTTCTGCACACGCAGTGGTGGGTTGTGCCGCGTTTTGGTTGCGTTTTTGATGCGTTTAGGGCCGTTTTTTTTTTTTTTAAGTTTAACATGGGCTTTCAGGCACTTGCATGCGTTTTTTATGCGTTTTTGAATTTTAGATGCGTTTTTGATGCGTTCCAGAGCAGGTAAAATAGGGCTTGCCGCAGTTTTTTCACCTGCTCTGGATCTGGTCTGGATCCGCACGCTGTGATGTGAACTGGAGGTCAAAATACCATAGGAATACATTGGACGCAGTTTTGATCCGGTCTGCACCTGCTCTGGTCTGGATCTGCTCCGCGCTTGGTGTGAACAAGGCCTAATAAGGCCTTGTTTTTTTGTTTTTTTACCAAAAATGCATCCAAAACGCATCAAAAACGCGGCACAACCCACTGCACTGCGTGTGCGGAAACCTGACCGGATCTGGTCTGCATTTGGTGTGAACAAGGCCTAAACCGATCACATAGCTCTTCGCTGTGCAAACAAGAGTCACTGCACCGAGTGACCACTAGATGGAGCCGGGGAGCATGTGAAGTTTCTGTGCTCCTTGGCTCCATCTAGTGGCCATAAGGGGATAATTGCAGAGAATATGAGCCAAGACTGTCTGCGTGATAACGTACCCCCAGGGTTGGGTCAATGACCTGGGCTCAGAGCAAATGGATTGAATGAAGCTGGCTGTCATTCACCCCAGGAGTATGAGGATGGTAGAACAGAAGTACTGCAGGGTATGGTTCCAAATTGAAGGTGAGTATTTTGTTTTTTTGGCTAGAGTTATAACATACCACACATGCAATCACCATATAATAATATTTTTCATTGTATTATTATTATTATTTATTATTATTATTATTATTATTATTATTATTATTATTACATAGTATTTATATAGCGCCAACAATTTGCTCAGCGCTGTACAAAATAGTGGAGACAGCACAGTTACAATACAATTTTTACAGTTTTAGAACAATAGGGTTGGGAGGTCCCTGCTCGTGAGAGCTTACAATCTACTAATGATCTAGTATGATAGGGAGTGCTGACTTTTATTTTTGTTTCTCATCTCAGGCCGGTCTGCTTCCTCCTCGGTGAGCTTCCTCTGATGTCTACGTGGTTTTTACTCACATCCACATTCAGGTAACTGCATCCCCTCCCCCCCGGCAGAATCAAAGGAAGGACTGTGCTCTGCACTTTTTGTATTCACAATTGCCGCATGTTATAGCGGATGGAGAGGGTCAAACACTTATTTTTTTGCTAGTCCTTTGAGGGACGTGGGAAGTTTTTCAGGCTTGGGTTATACTGCCGCCTGCAGGAGGATTGGACACGGGTATGCACAAAAACTGTGGGCCAGCCCAGCTTCGCCCCTCAATTGTATTGTGTTCTCAGCTCTGCTGTGAAAAGACTTGCCTATTACTGCTAGCAGCGCTCTTCCTTTATCTCACCTTAGCTGGCCCATATAAGGGGAAAAGCAGGACTGACTGGCTCCCTGTGGTGCTTCCCAGTCTGAGCTCTGCTGTTCGGGGACTTCAGGAGGCTGATACGATGCCATATTCAGTTGCTTGAATGAGCTTTCCTGAGTTCTGATCATGTGTGTTTCTCTGCAGCATGCTGCCGCTCCTGCTGAAGGATGGGCTACTGGTGGCGTACATCATCACAACGCTAGCGTTCCTCCTCGTGACCGCCGCCTGCCTGTCCTTCCATGAGAAAACCTCGGAAGATGCTCTGAAGCTGAAAGGTTTCTGTGTCTCTATAAGGAGATGTGTGTCCTGGTTCACGGTTCCAGGGAGTCTGCTCCGTCTGCTGGTAAGGAGGCCTTGGCCTGTCTGAAAGGGTTAAAGAGGCTGGTTGGTTAGAGCGGGGATAGGCAACCTTGGAGAGGCGGAGCTACACCCGAACATCATGGAGTTTCACCAGGGGGCAGCACACTTGTTTTAAGCTGATAACCGAGCACGGTCCCATTAAAGTAAGGAAGGTTTGAAGAATTTAGGGAGTAGTAGAGTTCAGAGGTCAGTAGTATGTGACACATAGGTCAGTAGTGAGTAATGCAGGGTTCAGAGGTTAGTACTAGGGATGCACCGATATATCGGCCGCCGAAACATATCGGCCGAAAATGGCACTTTTGGCATAATGCCGAAAGAGCCATGTTTCGGCCGATACGTCGGCGCATCCCTGCTTTCTTTTCTCCCCGCTGGGCGCTGTTCCAGCGGGGAGAAAAGAAAGTGACAGCCGGCCGAGCGCTGCAGGACGAGAGCGCTGTGAGCTGCCGGCGTCTCTCCTCCCACACCGCACAGTCCAGCCTCATGCGTGCCGTGTATGTAAATCAGGAGTATGTGCCGTGTGTAAATGCTGAGGGTTTAACCCCTTCACTCCAGGCACCAATTTTGTCACCGCAAGATCGACAGTTGTCCATTTAGCGGCGTCTGTATTCACAGCTTGATTTGGGCCAATAACTAGCGCTGCGCAAACTGCTGGCGGGATATAAATCCTGTGTAATAATAATAATAATAATAATAACGCAATATTTTCTTTTATTCTTCTCATCTCCGCAGCTATTCCTCTCCTTGTCGACGATGGCCGTCCTGACCGTTGGAAGCTGCGCCTTGACTCCTCCCCCTGCACTCCCCGACCTTTTCCCAGTGCTTATATCTTCCGTCTCCTGCGCCCACTTCCTCATGTTCTTTCTCTACTTTAATATCGTTCATCTATGGGACAGAACAAACGAGCAAAGCAAGCAGAAAATATCCTAAATTCTTCTTCTTTCTTTTCCTTCTTGTGAATGGGAAATATTTTTGAGAATATTTTTTTGTGCCTCCAGGGACCAGTAAAAAACATTTTCTTTGGTTATAAGGGTTTTTTTTTTGTGTTTTTTTTTTAAAAAGAAAGTTAAAATTTAAAATCTTATATAATTTACTGATCTTTTTTTAATAATAATGTTATTTTTATACATAAACCTGTGCCTGTATTTGTAAATAACTTTGGGTACCTAATTGGAGAAAAATGATCTGTATTTTTTTTTGTGGTTTTAATTTTCTTTTCAGATATTTTTTCTTTATTGTGTCGTAGATCTAAAGACCAATCAACCTTCCATTCTATAATTGTAGCAAATTCAGCTAATGGGAAATGTAAATGCCAACTATTACTTTAGTTTTCATAAGGCACAGATGTAAATTTCTTGGAGTAAACAAGGAAAATACGAAGGAATAATCTTGAATCATAATGGATACAATTACACTTTTTTTTTGATCTGTAATATTTTACAGTTATTTTTATATGTGTAAATCTAATTTTGAACAGTATTTTTTTACGTTCATATGCTGGATGGAGATTAGCAATAATAAAAAATGTTTATTAAAAAGAAGTTGTTTTAATTTTTGAAAGATACAGCCAGTCCTTCATTGTATATTGACACCCCAGAAACAGTGAAATAAATGCAAAAATAAATCCCTGCGAACAACTTCCCAGAGCCGGATTTCCCACAAAGCCAACCGAGGCCTGGCCTAGGGGCAGCAGGAATTCCTATCTCCCGATGCCTGGGACATGCAGTTCCGGGCACAGGGCGGGCAGTAGTTTTCTACATTTAGCCCGGCTTTGGCTGCTTTGGGCAAGCAGAGCTAAATGTACAGCAGGAAAGGCGCCGCTTGTTTAGTGCAAGTGATCTCTGCGATGTCGCCGAGATCACTTGTATGCAGCCTGCAGGTCTGCCATTAATACTTACGAACCAGGGTCCACAGTTCTCCTAAATGGACCGGCAGCCGCCGGTACATTTAGGAGTCCCTTCAAATCCGCACTGCTCTCCCCGCCTATGTTGGCGGGGACACAGACCTCTGCATTGCGCCGCTGTCCCGGCCTCCTCTTCCCCTGGTCCGTCCGCTTCTCTTCAACTTTTCGGACGATCCTCCGCTCCCCCGTCTGGCCGCGGCTCCTCTGCCCAGCCCTCCTGCCTCCTCTTTCATCTGCGGGCTGGGAGCCATACCCAGCCTGCTATTGGATATTGTAAAATGGGATGGAGGACCTGATAGAGAACTTTCTCCTTCAGGCCCCTCCTCTGCTGATTGACAGCAGGCAGTGGGTAGATGGGTAGGTGGCAAAGCCAGCCAGCTATTGGCTATTGCAATTTGAAATATCCAATAGCAGGCCGGCTATTGCTCCCAGCATTAAAATAAAAAAATAAATTTGAAAAAAGGGTTTACAAAAATAAAATTAAACAGACAAAAAAAAGTTAAATTAAAAATGCAAACAGAAAAAAATTAAGTTTATAACAATAAAAATAGAAAAAAACGTTTTTGGTTTTTTTTGGTGTCATTTTAAATAATAATGTTTTTAAAAAAATGATATTGTAATCTTCTGAACAACAGGAACAGACAGCAAAACAAACGTGACCCTTCCCTATGCTATCCAAAACAAAAAAAAAATTTTTGGGCTGGAGTTGCACTTAAAAAAGTGCCCGCGCTGACTGGCGGAACGGACGGGGGTGGGGGCGGGTACAGCTGGCTCTGTCTCTAGATAGGCAGAGCCAGCTGTCAGTCACGCAGCTGGGCGGATCCAGACATAATTGTCGGGATCCGCTTCAGCTGCGGCGTCTCAGTATATAGAGAGCTGTAGCTCGCGGTATACTGAGCTTAGGATGACGGGAGGACGCTAGTTTATGTCCTCCCGTTACCCTAAGGAGAACTATGGGGAAAAGCCCTGACCACATAGTTCTCCTTTAAGTACAGACCCGATCTTGTATGTAACCCGGGGGCTGCCTGTAATATTTGGAAAACAAACATCTTAGATGTCTGCAATGTCATTACGCCCGGCGGAAGCCCCGGGTTACTCGAATTTACACGCTTATTCTTATCACCATGTATGCTCTCCCCGTCCGCATGAAGCAGCGTCTTCAAAGGAGGAGACCGGGCTCCTTACATTCCTCCAAGCGTGCGATACATTTTATTGGAGTGATATGAAAATAATACAGGACTATAAAAGACACTTGTTGAGAGGCGTTATGTGGCTGCGACCACGGCAGGGGGTTGTGTATGCTCAGCAGTAATCTGACTCTGGCCCCGTAAACAGGTGTTG